GGGGGAGTGAGGGAAATTGAAAGAATTTGTTTGAATTTTTATTAGAATTTTGTAAATAAACTAGTGAAAAAGAAGGAAAAAGAAATAAATACTAACATGTACCTGAAAAAAAAAAAGTTGCTGTGAGGTAAACTCATATTACATTTAGTCAGAAATCAAGGCACACCTTACACGAATAAGAGGACTCATATTTGAATTCTTTTTAACTGTTTTTGCTAAAAATTCTAGTGGAGATGCTGAAATATTATCTAAACTTTATAAATTTAATTTATATAAAAGATAGTATTGAAATAATATAAAACTTTACTGGAATTCTAAAGATTAGAACTTTCAGTATTTCTAAAAAGAACACTTCACTAGGCAAAATTTCTAAGAAACTTGAATTTACACAAACTTTTCTAATAACAGGAAAAAAAATAAGGCCCACAGATTGGAAAGAACTAATCAATGCTTACCATTAAACTTTTAAATTTTCTATTTTCTGCAATGTGAAAAAAGCCATCTCTTGTTAAAATCTTGATGTGCTTTGCTTCATTATTATACCTGTGGGCGATGAATAACTTATGAATATAAATGTGTTTTTAATCAGTAGAAATCAATAATTACCAGAGGGCATGCCCCAATAACATTATAGGAATTAATTCCAAAGACAAAATATATACCTATGCCAATACACTGATGACAGCTAATTAACAAAATATATTTACTAGATTGGTTGAAGATACAACCAATATTTGAGGTGAAGAGAAGGAGGGAGGAGAATTTAAGGCAATTTAAATTTCTGATTTGTTTAGTAAATTCACTTTGAGCTTGTATACAAACAAATAATACAAAATCTAGTAGCTTAGAATTTACTAGAAATAAACACACATATCAAATCACCAAAAACACAATGTTATGAAAGAAAGCTAATATGCCAATTAGCAGCCTATAACACTTATTACTGTTTTTCTAACAGATATTTTCAAGTATTAATGAACTGTCTAGATAGATACATTATTTCTGCTGCAATTAGAACCCTGGTTTTCAACTTGAGTGTTATAAATGTCATATGGTCTATGTAATTATGAAAACAGGAAATCTATTTCTGTAAAAGTACTTGTCCTACTTACTTAATGCTAATTGCATATTCTCCCGACTCTTTGGTCCTGCGCCTCACAAGGTAAGTACTATTTACCCTATTAATAAGTTCAGTCTCTGCCTGCAATCTTCCAATTGTTCCAGCATACCTATAAGGGGGGAAGGAAAAGCACAGGAAAATTAGTTATGTACCTGAAAGAGAACAGAAGCTAAAAATAACTATGTCAAGATTTTACTTTAGAAGCAGATCTGAGTTGTTTCTACGTCTATATTAAGTAATTATACTGCTTTAAAAAACCCTCCAGAACACCAAAACAACAAACACTTAAACTAACAGAGAAAAGAAAAAAAAATCTTTTTGTATGCCCAAACACATGTGCTCTACAAAGCTTACTTAACAGTAAAATTAAAAGTATCTAATGGACAGTAAGCACTCAATAAATATCAGTCAAACAGGACAATGAGAGGAGTTAATAGATAATTGGTTATAAAGAGAGTTCTAGGGAGTTTGGGGACCAGAGGAAAGATTTGAATGAAATGACTGTCTGTGCTGCAATCCCAAAGGCAGGCTGCTCGAATCTACCAGCTGCTCTGCAGGAGAAGGACAGGCAATCTATTCCCTTGTGATCTAAACCGCTGAAAACCTGCTAGAGAGTCAGCTATGGGCTGGTTCTGACTCAGGGGTATACAGCAACAACAATAAAAAAAGGAAATATTTTTAAGTATATTTGAAAGAAAACTTCAATAATAATTTAAATTACTAAAAAGAATTTTTGAGTCAGAAGACTAATCCTTAATATTTGTGATTCTAAAAGACCATTTTCTAAAGAATATTGTAGTAGTAAAATTACTTTTAATAAAAATGAACTGGGGGCTTGGGGAGGAAAATGTGTAAAAATGAATGAATGAATGAATGAATGAAAGAAATCCAACTTCTCTATAAACTTTTGTTAAAATCACAATTAAAAAATAATAAAGTGTTCAAAAGTGTAGATTATTCAGAGAGGTGAAGATGGGTGGGGGCTCGTTAATCATAGGGTTGTACAATTTGATGGGTGGGGATAGTGAAAGAAATGGGAAAGATCTATTGTGAAAAACAATGTATCCACAATTTGTAAATAAATCAGTATAAAATTTTAAAAGGTAGCTTATTTTAAAAAATCAGAATTCATTTCTCTTTAGACTATGTTGCCCTTAAAAATATCCAAATTCTATAATAATAATAAATGATAATAATACAAGTCTTGCTTTACATTCAATGCTAAAATTTCCTCAATGGCTATATAAAATGTAGGTTTAGAGTTTCTTGAAAGAACACAATAGATAGAAGTTTTGGGGAATAAAAAACTGGAATAATATTTTATTATAGTGGCTGTTTTTCAAAGGTTTTTTTTTGTTTACTTTGAATCATGCCATTTTCTGTATTGAGATTATTAACTTATTTCTTACAAATTGTTGTGCCTCATAAAAACACCCATGATCTGGCTGCTAACCAGCCCTGTGCTTTTTCCATCCTATTATTTTCAGACACATGTTCTTTCTTATATTTTTTAATGAATTAATTTTCTAGAAAATTATCTGATCCTTATATAGATTTCTGTTACTGAATGTCAATGTTGTTATGTGCTATTGAGTCAGAACTAATCCACAGCTGACCCTCCACTGGGTTCTCACAGGTTTTAAACTGCACAGGAACAGGCTGTCTGTGCTTCTCCAGGGGAAAAAGGACTGTCAAAGCAGCTAGTGGATTCCAGCCACCTGACTTTTGGTTGGCAACATAACACCTTATCCAATAAGGCACCAGAGCCCCCTTAGTATAAATACTCAGTGCTAATATAACACTGATCTATACACGCTATATATTCAACAAAACTTTGCTGGACTGCATTTTAGGTTTCAACTAAGTCACATACAAAGCATCAGCAACCCAGCTCATTACTGTTGAGTTGGAGCCAACTGAAGGCTGACCCTCCAGTGGGTTTCTGAAGTCATAACTGTCACAGAAAGATATTTTTTCCAATGGTTGGTGGAATCAAATCTCCTCCTTCTAGCTTTGGGATGGCAGTGCAGCTTCTTACTCAGGAAGCCATCAGAGTTGTCCCTCTTTGCATTATATAGAAATTATAAATGTAAATACAACCATTATACATAAATGTATTTTTTGTGTTTTTATGTATTAAAGAATATGTAAAATTATAAATATATATTTATATCCTCTGTTTTCTTTTATAGACTTTCTACCAGTTGAATGCTATACTTACTGGGTTGATTGTCTAATTTTCATTCTTTCCCCCATATTATCTATCTCTTTGACTTTATGAGAGAATTTTTCAACTTTTTTACCAACCATTCCACTCAATACTGAATTCAGAATTACAGTCTCATTGTTATCTTTCTAAAACATCCAGATCACTTCAAAGGATGACTTCTCAACTGCAAGGATAAACATTTTTAGAAATTCTTTTTTTCTATTCCCTCTAACAGCAATTTTCGTCAAACTTCTTTTCCTCATTTATTTCATTTGGCCTCTAGTTCAAGGCTTCACTAAAATGCCTGGTTCCTTTGTGTTCTCTGTCCATGTTTAAAAGGGAGGCATCCAAGAACTGCCTGGAGATTTTGTATGTGTGAGCTCCAAGGTAAGCTCATTGGGTAAGAACTTAATCATTTGGCAAGCACTTGATAGCTTGGCTAGGTAGCATTCACATGTTAGCACTGGAGAGTTTTGGCTTGTGGGGTTTTTTTGTTGGTTTGTTTTTCTATGAGGCTCTTCAATTTCTTTTGTGAAAAAATGTCCTCAAGTCATATCTGGAAATCCAAAGAGAGTAGTACATATACAGACGAGGCATCTGTTACAGTGCTAGAACTGAGCTATATGAAGGGACTAGGGAGAGAGTATTTGATCACTGAGGTATGCAGAATTACCTTTAACTTCCTGTCATTCTCATGCAAACCTATACTTGGACCAAGAAGCAGTCCTTGGACTAGAGCAGGAAAACACTGCATTGCTCAAAATCAGGGAAGGAATGCATCAGGGATGCATCCTGTCTCCATATCTTTTCAGTTTATCTGCAGAACAGATCATTCCAGAAGCAGGGCTTTATGACGAGGCATGTGGCATCAGGATTAGAGGTAGACTCATCAACAATCTACACTATGCAGATGACACAACCTTGCTAGTTGAAACTGAAGATGATTTGAAGTGCTTGCTACAGAAGGTCAAGGACTGTAGGCTTCAATATGCATTGAAGGTTAATATCAAGAAGACAAAGATTCTCACCCCGGGCCAATTGGCAACACCACAGTAGATGGAGAAGAGATTGAGGTTGTTCACAATTACAGCTTGCTTAGCTTCACAATCAGCACTCTTAAAACCAGCAATCAGAAAATCAAAAGCTAAATTGCATTGGGAAAATCTGCTGTTAGGGACCTCTTCAGAGTGCTGAAAAGCAACGATGTCAGTCTAGAGACTAAGTTGCACCTAATCCAGGCCATGGTCTTCGCAATTACTTGTTATGCACAAGAGAGCTGGATAATGGCTAAGGAAGACAGAAGAAAACATTATGCCTTTGGGTTGTGGTACTAGAGAAGAGTCTTGAATATACCCTGGAATGCCAAGAAAACAAACAGGTCTATCTTGGAGAGGGTGAAACCAAGTTTCTCCTCAGAGGCTAGTTTTTTGTTTGGGTTTTTTCTGGAGATAATTCCATTTTAAAATAATTTGTCTTTGTTATATTAATGATTTTTTAAATGTATACCACATTGAACATTTAATTGTGCTAATACGAAACCTATACTTGGACCAAGAAGCAGTAGTCAGAACACAGCAGGGTAACACTGTATGGTTCAAAATTGGGAAGGGTGTACGCCAGGGATGCATCCTGTCTCCATACCTTTTCAACATGTATGCAGAGCAGATTATCCGAGAGGCTGGGCTCTATGAGGAGAATTGTGGCATCAGGATTGGTGGAAGATCTATTAACAATCTCCGTTATGCAGATGACACAACCCTGCTTGCTGAAACTGAGGAGGACCTCATGCACTTGCTGCGAAGGGTCAAGGACTGCAGCCTTCAGTATGAACTAAGGCTCAACGTCAAGAAGACAAAGATTCTCGCCACTGGACCAATTGGCAGCATCAGGATGGATGATGAAGAGATTGAGAGTGTTCACAGCTTCACTTTGCTCGGCTCCACAGTTAACACTCTTGGTACCAGCAGTCAGGAAATCAAAAAGCATATCGCGATGGGAAAGTCTGCCGTTAGGGACCTCTCAAACGTACTCAGGAGCAACAGTGTCTCTCTGGAGACTGAGGTGCGCCTGATACAGGCCATGGTATTTGCATTCGCTTGTTATGTATCAGAGAGTTGGACAATGACTAGGGAGGACAGAAGGAGAATGGATGCTTTTGAGATGTGGTGCTGGAGAAGGGTACTGAATGTACCATGGACTGCCAGGAAAACAAACAGATTCATCTTGGAGAGGATTAAACCAAGCTACTCCTTGGAGGCAAGGATTCTGAGGCTTCGTCTGACATACTTTGGACATGTTGCCAGGAGGGACGGGTCCTTGGAGAGGGACATCATGCTTGGGAGGGTGGAGGGACAGCGCAGGAGGGGAAGACCCTCTATGAGATGGATTGATTCGGTGACTAGGGTAATCGGGATGGGTGTGTCAGAGGCAGTGCGGTTGGCGCAGGATAGAGCAGGGTTTAGGGCTGTTGTGCATAGGGTGGCTATGAGTCGGAAACGACTCGACCGCACATAACAACAACAACAACGTACCGCATTGAAACAGATTAGGGAAAAAACTGTTTAAAATGGATATGTGATTAGTTATTATTGTCGTGACAGGAGTCCAGAGCGAAGGCTGCATAGTGGAGTGGACCTGGGGGAAGGGTTTGTAAAACAATGAAAGAAATTTTCTTTTACTTTTCTAAGAGGGTAGTGTACTGGCAGGGGGAGAGGTTAGGAGGGAAGAAAACTGCACAATGAATGAATGGAAACCCAAAGTCTCTGTAAATTTTCATTGAAATTAAAAATATATTAAAAAAAGAAGAATAAAAGAGGCTAGTGTTTTGAAGCTCCATCTCACATATTTTGGGCAGAGGACTAGGAGAGATAGGTCCTTGGAGAGGGACATCCTGCTTGGAAGACTGTTAGGACAGTGCAGGAGAGGAAGAAATCTGATGAGATGGAGTGATACAGTAACTGGGGCAATAGGGTTGGTGTGTCTGAATTAGTGAGACTGGCTCAGGACAGGGCAGGGTGCAGAACTGCTGTGCATAGGGTCACTATAGGTCATGGGCAACTCAATGGCACATAACAATAACAACAATCATGGCATCTTTCAGTATAACTGGCACTCTCCAGGTTCATTTTCTTAGGGAATATACAAATACAGTGTCTCCTACCAGGGTATGAAATGCTCCCTGATTGCTGGAAAGATAGAGAATTTATTTTATATCTTTTGATCCCCATATAGATTTTTAAGTCATTTTCAGATCTATGACATCACAAAATTTTAGTAATTGAAGATGATAATCTTGATTTTCTATTTCATTTTCTGGTCTGTGCAAGAGTCAAAGTTCACCTGGTGAGGACAACCTGTTTGTAAATGTGGAAGTAATGAGCAGATAATATACTTGATGCTATTCAAATTACCAGTTCCTTGAGAACCATCATTGGGTGTCATTTTCTCTAAAGAGTTTAGCATTTCTAAAATTGAAGCTTCCATTTTCTCATGGATTTGATCATTTTGTTCCCTGGCAGCAGGCATCTCACATGTAGCTGTCTGCTTAGTCTGAATAAACTGCCCAGGTTGCTCAGGAATAGAAAGAAATTTTAAAATTCTACCATCAAATGCCCTTAATTCTTACTGTTTTTCAAGGCTCTGACTTTATCTTAATACCCTTTTCTATTAATTATTGTAAATACTACTCTTCTAACTGGCTCTAATAGCATTTCAAAGCACTTTTAGGTATTTATGAGCACGTATTTTAAAACAAAGAATAAAAATGTTAGCCTCTAGTGCTGAGTAATTCCCAAGTATCTTAGTGGTTTCTTTCATAAAATCCATGTCACTTGTAGCATTAGTATTTTCCTTATGATGCTAATTCCTGTCTAATTACTTGGAAAAAATTAGTAAAATACAAAAACAGACTATTCTTCATATGCTTTTTATTTTATAAATTCTTGGTGACTCCTTGTTTGATTATCCATATTATCATTTCCACTCTCAAAATTTTAATTGTGAAGAGTATAGATTCAAATACTGCAGAAACTGAGCCTTCAAATTTGCCTTTAAGCAGGTAAAATATAGCAAGAGTTCATGATCGACCACAAATCTCGTTTTGCACAGCCACCCCGGTGGTGACAGTGGTGAGGAGGCCAAAGGAGGCTCCACTGTGAAGATGTGTCATGACCACACTGAGAACAAGACAGACAGTTCAGGGGCCCGAGACAGTCAGTGTGATGAGAAGAATGCCATTCACTGGCCAATGCCTTCCTCTGCACTGAAGAGTTATCTAGTCTCTTCCAGAATTTGGTTATAAGACAGAAAAGAACCAGAATATTTTAGAAATATGAGAAAACCTTGCTTTATCTACTCTCATAAACTGAATTTGTACTCTATCTCTCTGGACAGACATCCATATCCTGATACCTCGTGATCATGCACATACCTCACTGTCAAGAAAATGAACATGGATTCAGTCAGGTTAAGAAGAGGCTCAAAGAAATAAATGTCAAAGAGTAACTGTGTCTACGTTTTGCATTTAGAGGCTGGTAATTGACAAAGTGACTGGGGTAATAGGAGTAGGCGTGTTGGAGAAACTGAGATCGGCTCAGGATAGAATAGAGTTCAGAGCACAATAGTGACCCTTCGTGCATAGGGTCATTATGAGTTGTAGATGACTCAACAACAACAAAGAGAAAGGTTAAGAAAGCCTGGTGGCAAAGTATGTCACATGTTGCACTGTAACTAAAAGATGGTGGTGGTGGTAGTGGTTGTCTTGGGTCAGATCTAACCCATACCTGACTCTCCAGTAGTTTTTCAGAGGAAGTTAATGACACAGAAGGAGACTGCCCATTTCTCTCCCTCAAAGCAACCAGCAGATTTGAACCACGTGCCTTCACATTTGCAGTGCAGCTTCTTACCACTAGGACGCCACAGTTGGTTCAAATCCACCAGGAGCTCTGAGGGATAGAGATGAGCATTCTCTTCCTATAAAGATATAAAGCTCCAGAAACCTGATGGAGGTATGCTGGGCGTTGAAAACAATAGCAGGAGGTTTAGATTTGAAAGCCGAGGGCGAGAAAAAAGGAGAGAAATTCTCAATGAGATGGAGTAATGCAATAAACAAAACAGTGGTGAACGCAAACTACTCTCTTATACACAAGATAATTGAGTCAGGACTGACTCTACAATAACTAACAATATCTAGACAGTATAGCTTGGGGTCCTGCTTCAAAATCTTCCTAGTTGCCTGGTTTTAACTTTTGTTTAATCATTTCTGAAAGGGGAACAATAATAATTTCCTTGGATAGATGTTGGAAAAGCATCTATGTATACATGTGTCCATTGTCCATGTCTCATTCCTTTCTGTGGTGCTATAAACTTTGAATTTATTGTCTCATGTGTGCACGCACACATACACACAGATGCACACACATGCATGCACCCTGACAGATATTTAGAAAAGTCAGCAACATATAAATTCATTACAGTGTTTTGTTACATTTGAAAATACCGTTAGCCAGGACAAATGGAAATAGAATGTGATTTTATTACCCCTGCATTTAAGGCATCCTCGAGCTAAGGGTATGGTATTTCAACTTAGCTACATAAACATTTTTAATACTTACCAAGGTTGGCAAGAATAATCTACTGGTTTGGGCACCTAGGATATAAAAAGGCAAAAATAGATTAAGTTTACTTAAGGGAAGCTTTTAGAAATCAATCATTAATTCAGTTCAGCTGAGTCAGCTCTATAAAACCCTAAGTAGCACAGTGCTGGAACTATCCATTGGCAATTTTATACAGAGTGAAGCACAGTATATGCCAGGGAAGTAGAAAATAATTCATTTCCGTTTAATTCATTCTTTCATTCATTTTACTGCCAAAGTACCTCCAAGGAGAGAGATATGCTGGAAGAAAATATGAACTGGAAACTTCCAGTTTTTAGTACCACGGCAGTTTAATCTTATGATAGAAAATTAAAACAAAAATGTTACAAAGAAAACCAAACAGCATTTTGTTTCCCAAGAAATTAAAAAAACAACAACAAACCAACAAAACAAAAGCACATGTTAAATAAGCAACATATAGTGGATGTGGACTCTTATTTTGTAAACCAAGTTTAAAAATCTCTGCTTTTGCCATCTACCAACCAAAAAATCTTTTTATTTGAGGAAAAAGTTGTGGAAAATTTTAATTTTCCCATTTTCTCACTCCTCACTTCACACAAGAGAAAAATACTGCATTTTCAATGCAAATAAACACAGAAAACTTCTTAACGTCGGTAATGGTAACTAATAAATGAACAAAGCAAAAAAATGTACACTAAAATTCACCAAGTGACACCTAGAACACACACCAGTATGAGGGGAACAAAATTTATATGTGCTTTAGAATAAGTAACTGTTCTGACAGTATAAAAAGTTGGTCTTTTATATATAGAAATCTTTCATGAAATCTTTTAGACTTTCATATATAAATTTTATACATTTCTAGATCTTTTTTGGGGGTAATAATACTGTGACACTTAAATGTAACAAAAATGTAGTATTTCATAGGTTTGCCAATATGAATATGTTTATATGTCAATTTTAATAATTTGCTGTTACTACTATTTCCTTCTGGATTTAGAGTTGTAGATAAAAGAAAATTCATATATTTTGTCAAAATATCCCTTTGGTTTGTTAGTATTTGTTTAATTATGTATTACATTTTATCACTTTGTATGATACTGATGCATAGAAATGACTAATAAAAATAAATTATACCTCTGCAAATATATTATTCTACCATGTTCTTGAAAACAGAAATCATGTTTTCATCATTTCCCCTTTGCTGATATATAAACACATGAATTCTGAAATCTGATGGGAAAATATCTCCTCTTTCTTTGCCTTCTTTCACCAAGCTTACTGCCAGCCTGATGTCTCCGCTTAGCTCAAACAGAGACAGCCAGTAAATCATCAGAATTTGAAGATCCCTCCTCTCTGTTTCTCTTCTTTCTGCGATTTCCCACCTTCTGTTCCAGTTGCTGTGGTTGCCTAGAATGTTGAACTGGAGTCTTTTGGGCCAGTTAGGCTGAGGCTTCAATTATGCGTGGTAGGTAAAGCATAGTGCCCATCCTCAAGCTAACCAGCATAAAATCAGGTCATTCATCTAGATTTGTTTAACAGCTTCTATAGAGAGTGGCTATAGAGAGATTATGTTAAAAATACATTTTTTTCCAGAATTTAGACTGCTATCTATGGTGGGGTTGATTCAATAGAGCTACTTGACAATTACCAGAAATAAAACCTCTCATCACTTCCATTACTGTTGCTGTGTGCCCAGAGGCTAAGTATCAGTTGTTTGTAAGTAATTTGCTTTTATTCTTCGGTTGAATTTAAATATTTTCTCTGATGTTACATAATTTAACTAAAATGTATTTCACTCGTGGCCATCAAGATAGAACTGACTCATAGAAGGTTCTGCAATGGGTTTCTGAGGTGAGGACACTAATGAGAGGAGATTGCTCATCTTTCTCCAAGAGTCATGAGTGGGTTTGAACCATCACTGGAGGCAGGGTCTTTGGGTTAGCAGTATGACTCTTTATAGATTACATCACCAGAACTTCCTAAAATGCATCTGTTGTTGTTGAGTACTGTTGAGTTGGAACTTACCCATAATCGACCCACCAACTGGTTTTCAGAGGCAGTAAATCATATAGGAGTTGAGTGCATTATCTTTCTCCCTTGTATGCCTTTAGTGTGACAGCACAGATCCTTACTAGGCCACCACAGCCCCCTATGTATTCTAGTGCTCATTAATTTTAACTTGCTCTGCTCCAGAGGGTCAGGGACTGTGGTCTGAATTATGGACTGAAGAAACATCAAGAAAATGGAGATTTTCACCATTGGGCCAACTGGCAGCATTAGGATAGATTGAGAAGAGACTGATGTTGTTAACAATTTCAGTTTACTTAGTTCCACAATCAATACTCATGGCACCAGTAGTCAGAAAATTAAAAGACAAATTACATTAGGAATATCTGCTGTCAGGGATCTTTTCAGAGTGCTGAAGAGCAAGGATGTCAGTGTAGAGACTAGGATGTGTCTGATCCAGGCCATGATCTTCACAATTACTTTCTATGCATCAGAAAGCTGAATAACAACAAAAAATGAAAGAATAATTGAGGCCTTTGAGTTGTGGTGCTGGAGAAGAGTATTGAACATACCATGGACTGCCAAAAGAACTAAAATGTCTAGGCTAGAGAGGGTAAAACCAAGCTGCTCCTTGGAGGCAAAGATTTTAAGACTCTTTTTCACATACTTTGGGCATGTAACCAGGAGGGATCAGTGTTTTGAGAAGGATATCATGCTTAGAAGGGTTGAGAGACACCTCAGGAGAGGAAGACCCTGACAAGATGGATTGATGGTAGGTGTGTGTCAGAGACAGTGAGATTGGCTCAGGACAGAGTAGGGTTCGGAGCTATAGAGCATAGGGTCACTGTGAGTCATATTTGACCTAACAGTACATAATAACAGCAAGAGCAGCAACAAGAACAACTACTCTCTTGAACTTTTAATATGAAGATTAGTTTTAATATATTATCTGGATAGCTTTGAAGCCATTACTTACTTGAATTGTTTCTCTACAACTATCTCTAATGTTTCCTTCAGTTAGATGGATTTGAACCCTTTCACCCATCGTTGTACTTCCATTTACTCATCTTTCTAGGAAGTTATCTTAGGGATGTCTTCACATTTTTCTTTTAACTCTACACAATTGTCTCTAATCTGTCATGAAAACTGTTCATTAATGTTCTTATTCTTTTTAAAAAATATTTTATCAGATCCCTTTTTGATATGCAATCAATATGGAAAGTGTTATCTTTAGAGTTTTCAAGCATATTAAACAATTTTTTTCTAGTATTTAATAATTTTTAGTATCTTCTTAGAAATGGATTGATGTGGTGACTGTAGAAATTGGCTCAAGTGTATTAGAGATGGTGAGAATGGAGCAGGAGAGGACAGGAGTCAGATTTGCTGTTTGCAAGGTTGCTGGGAGTTATACAAGACTCAACAGCACCTAACAACATCTAACTCTGAATTCTCTTTATCATATGCCCTTTGTTCAAGATGGTTGTTTCCTCATGAATTTAAAGACTGTAAACTCATTTGCCCTGAAACTTAATTTGTAAAATCCTTTGAGGACTAAGTGTAAAGAGGCTCAAATTTAGAGAGAAGTAATATTCTCATGTGTTATCATTTTAGGGGTACAATCAAAGTGGAATGTTGTTATTGTGTCCTGTAGAGTTGGAACGGACCAATAGCTGACCCTCCAGTAGGTGTTCAGAGGCAGTTAATCACATGGGAGGAGACTGTCCATTCCACAGAGATAGTGTGATTTCTACTCCCACAAATGTACAATTTTTGGATTTAAGATTAGAAAGCTAAGGAAAGTTTCTCTCTTCTTTCCTATTCCACCTAGATTCAAGAGAAAAGACAGTCATATGCCCTACTGTGGGATGACTCTGTTCTTCACCAGCTGAGGATTCTTGGGTTTCACAGATACGTGAGCTTGTAACTATGCTGCAGCCTCAAGCTGGATTTCAAGGGATCATACTGCAAAACATGAAATCACCTCATGTACAACTCTCCTATGTTTCTATAAGTTCTAGATTCCTATCTGCTACTTCGAAATTTTTAAGGAAACTGATACAGTAGATCCACGTGGACAATTTGTCAGCTCAGAATGGAATATGAAACACAACTCACAGATATTTGATAAACACAATCCCAGCAAATTCCATTTTCCAAACTACCTCAATTTATCCTCCCTCCAGTCTCTCCTCTCCTTCCCTTGTTCAACTTTCCCTATACCAGCAAAAGAACCTATAACTTTACTAAATAAGCAACACAAGTTTAATATCTATTTCTAACCTTTAAGCTAGAAAACCAATTATATTGGTTTTATAACTCTGCTGTTCTTCAAATCTTCACTATCTTAAAATTTCTGAACAGTTTTAACCTTCTAGGTGTTAATTAGTTCACCAAATACCACACAATATAACCGTATCAGCCGATTTAATTAGTATTTATCATACAGCTAAGGTCTTTTCTTAGCTTTTGCACTCATTTGTTCAACAAGAAAAGTTTATTAGCTATATACTAGATAACATAAAATCCCAAATTCCCATTTTAGACCAATTCAAGGGGATAGAAACAGAAAACAGTATTTTTGTTAAAAGGCTTAAAATTCTTCATGTCTCCAAGTATCTTAACATTTAGAATGAGTAATCTCTTTACATCCCTTCTTCTATTGATTAGGGATCAGAAGCCTGAATTTTGTTCATATAAATAATAGATACCTAGCTAAATGATCAATTTTGCTTATCAAATAATATAAGGGTAGTAAAAACTTCAACAGCTTTTTAAAAATGTTATTTAATATAAGATAAAATATGTGACACTCAGATTATTGAACCAAGAGAATACAGAAGAATTGTTTTATATCTTTTTCTTTTAAATTAAAATTGAATTAATGGAGTAATTTATTCCATACACTACATTCTGAAACAAAGGACATTCACATTGCTGTTGTTAAAGAATGAGAAATATTAAGAGAGATACTATTAAAAAGAATGCACAGTTTAGAAATCCTGGAAGCACTGAAATATATAAGGCAGGGTTGTTTAAGGAGGTTTTTCTCTCAAGTCACTCCAATCATCAACAATTCTGTTGCGTTATTATGGAATTCCATTTCCTTGGGAGTCAATAATTTTAAAAGTTTTATAGAAAAACCTACCATAAACATCAAATTATGATTACAAAAGTCACGTTAACCTAGACTCAAGTTTATAAATCTCATAAAAGTACTAGAAAGTACATTTTACGTTGTATTACTATATAACATTATTTGAGTAAATATCCATTCATTCTCATTGTATCATCTGAAAGTGTTTGATGTTTTCAGAACATTTCATTATGCCATTAAATAAACAGTAATGACACACTGAAGCATAGAAAAATGTGCTGAAAGATTTGATTGAAAAATTTGTAAATGCTCATGGTTGGTTAGCACACTAGCTTGAAGTTGAATATTTCTCTGTAACCCAGAATGCCTAGGGAGTAAACTGGACCCTACCATTCTCACTCTAGTGGGAAAAGGAAACTTGTATAATCTGCAGCTTTGGTTTAATTCTAAAACCTTTTAGGCAGTATTATTCTGTTAATACTGCTAACTTAATTTTCTCACTCCCATAGTTTCCAACACTTTGTACAAATCCCCCAAGTCCATGATGATGGAATCATAATAATGTTAGAGTTTAATGACATTAGCCATAACATCTATAAGCAAAATAATATAATCCTTCTATCAAATATTAAGAAAATGAATAAATTACCTAGATAGTGTCCTTTGAAGAATTTTATATCATCAGTCACAGTATCAAAAACAAAATATAAAGAAAACACGGTACTTACACATGGGCAAGGTTTGACAGCATCACTTGGGAAAAATCCAACCTCTCCAGATGCAAAATTTCTACCCTGAATTTGAAAAGAAAATGCCACTATTGAGAAAAAAACTGACCACAAATGGAGGCACATAACATTGCTTAGATAGTGTTGTATTTCAGTCTCAGAATTACCTGCAAGTTGTACCAATCATATGCATTACCTTATTAAGGCTCAGAAAGGATAGACGGACCAGGGGATTTATTAAACTGTTAAACTGCACATAGACAACATGTTAAACTTTGTTGTTGTTGTTATGTGCCCTTGAATTGCCTGTGACTCAAAAGACCCTATGCACAAAAGCTCTGAACCTTGCCCTATCCTGAGTCAATCTCATTGTCTCCGACACATGTACTCCCATTCATATCATAAAGTAAGAATGCAAGTTTGAGTTTTAAATATCCTTTATTCATTCTGTTATCTTTACAGCCCTTAGACTTGTTTATAGATCATATAATTTTCTATATGTCTCAGCGTTCTATCCTTTTATCATACTTATTCAATCTGAAGATTTAGCAAATATCCTGAGAAGCTGGAATATATGAAGGAGAAGATGGCCTCGAGATTGGAGGAAGACTCATTAACAATCTGTGAGATGCAGATGATACAACCTTCATGGCAGAAAATGAAGAGTTGAAGCACTTACTGATGAAGTTTTTAAAAAACACCTTCAGTATGGATTATACTTCAACAGAAAGAAAACAAATTCTTCACAACTGGACCAATAAGTAACAGTATGATAAAAGAAAACAAAACTGAAGTGTCAAGGATTTGATTTGGATCCAAAATTAATGCCTGTAGAGGCAGCAGTTGTGAAATTAAAATACATATAACATGGGCAAATCTGCGAAGGACCTTTTTAAAGTGATAAAGAGCAAAGGTATCAGTTTGAGGGTGATGGTATGTCTGAACTAAACCTCAGGATGCTTTAATGTACAGATCGATTGTTCATAGGATCATACTATATGAGCCTAAGTAGAGTTCACAGGAATCACAGCAGACTGGCTAACACCTAACAGCAGCAGCATATGCCTGTGAAAATTAGAAAACAAACACAGAATACTGAAGAAGACATGATCGCTTTGAACTGTGGTGTTTGTGAAGACTATAAAATATACATTTTTGGGAGGTGCCAGTCAATCAGATCCAAGTTATAAGGACCCAATATAGAACACATCACTTGCTACAATCACTTGCTATGCATCTGAGAGCTGAACAATGAATAAAGATAGCAGAAGAAGAATTGATGCCTTTGAGCTCTGGTGTTGGAGAAGAGCAGTGAAATCCCACTGACTGTAAAAAGAACAGCTATGTCTTGGAGAGGATGCAGCCAGAGGGCTCCTTATAGGCAAAGACAATGAAGTTTTGTCTCACACAGTCTGGGTATGTTACTAGGAGAGACTATTCCTTGGAGAGGGGCATCATGCTTGGAAAGGTGGAGGGCTGGCGAAAGAGAAGAAGATCCTCAATGAGATGGACTGACACAGAACAGCAATGGGCTCAAATGTGTCTGAGATGTTGAAGACGGCACAGCATAGGCCAGATTCAGATCTGTTGTTTATAGGGTCTCTATGATCCATACTTGACTTGATAGCACCTAACAACAACAATATACAACAGAGGAACTCTAGTGGCTTACTGGTAAGGAGTTATATTGTCAACCCAAAGGCAAATGCTTCAAATCCACCAGCTGCTTTGCAGAAGAAATATGGACAGTCTCCTCCTGTGTGATTTACAGCCTCTGAAAACCCTCTGGAGAGTCAATTATGAGTTGGTTCCGACTTGAAGGCACACAACAACAGCAACAACATATACAACAGAACAAAATCCTGTCCTGTCATTTCCCATCTTCATAATCTCTGCTATGCTCAAGCCTACTGTTACAGTCACTATGCCAATCTATCTCATTGATCGTGTTCCTGTCTTTCACTGACTTTCTATTTGTCTAAACTTGAATATTTATGTAAACTGCCTAAACAACAAAACAAATCCATCTTGGAAGAGGTGTAGGCAGATTGTCCCTTATAAGTTAGAGTAGTGAGCCTTCATCTCAAATTCTCTGGCCATGCTATCAGGAAGGTCTAGTCCCTGAAGTGTAACTTGCTTGGTAAAACAAGGTCAGCAAAAAAGGAGGAAAACCTGAAACAAGATGGTTTTACACAATGATGCAACAATAGATTTGAATGCAGGAGGAATTGTCAGGATGCTGTAGAAGCACGCACGTAGTGTTCCTTTTTGCTGTATACAAGGTCAAATATGAGTCAGCGATGACTTCATAGCACCTAACACCACCACCACCACAAATACAAGAACCAGCTGCTTTAGAGTTGATTCTAATTCATGATGACAGTACGTCATCAGAATAGAAACGGGGCCCATGGGTTTTCAATGGCTGATTTTTCAGATGCAGATCATTACGCCTATTTTGCAAGGTTTCTTTGGGTAGATTCAAATTTCCCACCTTTTGGTTGGCAGTCAAACATGGTACCCATTTGCCCCATGAAAATACATGTAAATTAGACATATGTGAAAATGAGGAACATTTATCATGATAAGTTTTAGGTTATTTTAAAAAATTACAAGTAAGAAATATAACAATAAGATGAAGGGTTTGAAAACTGGGAGAATATTTAAAATGTCATTTTAAATATGAGAAAAGGAAGAAAAGAATAGAATAACTGAAGCATAAAATGAAGAAGAAAAAAAAAAGAAATATTTAAGACTTTGTTCCTAAAAAAATACTTGTTCAGATTTCCCTGAAAAGACTCTCATGGCACTCACCATATCATTGTTTCCTCTCTTCCAGAAAAATAAACTTTACACAAACCACACCACCAAAATTACAATATGCAATTATCAAGTTCTTGAGTTTCATGCACCCTTTTCAGAACCTCATTTAGGTAGATAACATTATGATTTAGCATTAAAAGTCCCATTATTTTTTATTTACAAATTACAACAAAAGTGACAGGAAAACTTCTCCCTTCTGATGCAACACGCCTGTTGTGTCCGCTTGACTATGAGAATGTAGGGGAAAATTACAAAATGGAAATCCAGAATTATAGAAAAGAATGAAGGCAAAAGAAAGTTGAGAAGTAAGAGAACTGAGTAGGAATGAAAAGGGCAGGTAGAGTGAAAAAAGTTGATGTCTGAGGGAGGAAGTGAAGAGGCAAAACTGATGTGAAAAGAAGAGAGAGGAGAGCTTAGGAAAGAAATGGAGATCAATTAAATAAACAGAATTTCAGTTTTTGGCAAGCTTCTAGGACAGCAATGTGCACACATATTTGAGAAAAAATAAGTAGAAAAGTAGATTATTCTTTCCTGAGTCATTGAACAAAGAGTGAATTTTGACTAGGCACTGAGTTTATGTCAAAATGTATAAAGCTTGTTCTGTTTCTCCCTATATTTTGAGAGCAAATATATGCATGCATATTAATTATAATCCAAGATGGAAAGGGTTAAATATTGTCAGAAAATGCTACAGAAACTGAATAAAGAGAGTGAGTGCTATGTTTCTCTGAAAGCTGCCTGGAAGGGGTGGCAATGAAATTTCAGATAGCTTTGTAAAATGTGGGGTTTAAACAAATGGAGAAGTGAATGGAGAACATTCTAGAATTCAGGAAACAAGCAAACAAAAAACCATGTACCCAGGAAGTGTCAACTGTTTTCCTGAAATGGAGTCTACTAACAGCTAATACTTACTAAAGTCTTACTACATGCCAACCATTACTCTGTGTGTTTCACTTAATCTTTAAAGATTATTCTTTGACATAGCTCTTTTTCCTATTCTTATTTTACAGGCAAGGAAAATGAGTCACACAGTGGGTACCTTATTTGCTTATGGTCACAGATCGAGCATGCAGCAGAGTCAGAATTCAAAATCAACTATTCTAATTCAGAGGCATGCACTGCCTTGCAGGGTTCATGTAGGAAGATAGCGAGAAAGAAGCTAAAGGAGGCAAGGAAAAAAAAATAAACAAACTGTAATTTCTGAATTTTATACATTGGTGATGGGGTTTCAATAAATGTATTGTGCCTTTTAGAATTAAAGTAGCACCAGCATGGAAGATATGTTATAGATGAACATGACTTTGGAGACAAGAATCTTACTAGGGAACTGAACGGCAGTAGGGAAGAGTAAGTGGAGAGGAGGAACGAGGTGCTCAAGATATTGTTTAACTAGACTCAGGGACTTGTCCTTAGATTAAATTTGGGAAGAGCAGAAGAAATTAAAGACTGAAAAGATGTCAAAGATTGGAGTGGTAACTGGTAACTAAATAATATAGACTGAGTTAGATGATGATCAAGGAGAGTACTTATATGATTAAAGTGCTTTAGTTGCATAATGTGTTAAGAGTTGGACTTTTTTAAAAAAAAGTCATTTTAATGAAAGTTTACAGAGACTTAGGGTTTCCAGTCATTTACTGTTGCACTTTTCTCCCTGCCCATCCTCTCCCCCTCAAATCACTCTTCTCCTTGAAAAGAAAAACTCTTTCATTGTTATGCAATCCCTCCTCCCAAGTTCACTCCACTATAAAGGTTGGTGGTCTGAATTTAACAGCCACTCTGTGGCAGAAGGAAGGGCATTCTCTTCTCTAAAGTTGTATGGCCTCAAAAACCCAATGATGATTTTTATGGGTTGGAACTGACTCAAAGACAGTGTTGCTGTTGGTTTTGTGTGGGGTTTTGAAAAATCTTTTATACCACTACCCAAATCTTTCTGCGTAAAATGCTACCTGACTGCAAAACAATATGGGTGTGTGGGTGGGGAATTATATACTGACAAGAGGCTTTGAAGAAAAAAAGAGAAGAGGTATTTCCTTAAAAAGAAAAAGACAATGCTTAAGCACCACTAGCATGAATAAGGCTATTTTGCAAGAGAAAAACCTGAAAGAGAGATTTATGATTTTTCAAAACTGCATTTGATGGTACATCAGCCAATTGGAACATTACAGCTATTATAATGGTGCAATTTCAATTGCTATCTTTCTTCATAGAAGAAAAGGTATTAATCCAGAGAATGCTGCCACCTT